ACCTGGCCCATTGTCCTTGCTTTGCTCAAGTGTGTCTAAAACTAATCTCATGTTTGTGTTGTGACATAGTAGTATTTGTAGTGACCATTCATTAATAATTGTATAGACTCTAAACATGAATACTTCCCAATAATACCATCCTCAAAAGAGTTAATCTCTACTCTGACCACTTGTTGCACATTCTTTTCTGTACCAATACTATAGAAATAGTTGTTATACTATATTGTTTAGGGAATAATGACCAAAAAAAAAAGTCTGTATATGTTCAGTACAGACATAATCATCATAGGCCTAACTATACATGTACACATCAGTAACAGAGTAATTTTTCCCCCCTGAATATTTTCCACCTACAGTTGTTTTTGAGTCCATGGATGTGGAATCTGCCATTATGGAGGGTCAACTATACTGTCTACAGCTAAGAAATCTCATGCCAGTATGCGACAATATTGTGTGTGTGGGAGTTGGGGGGGACATTGGATTGGAAGCTGGGAGGAAAGAATTGTGATAAAGTTTGTGACTGACTTGCTGTGTGACTTGGGCAAACTCATGTTACCTAAGACTTACTTTCTTCAACTATAAAATGAGGTTTCTGAAACTAAAATCACTAAGGATTCTTCCAGGCCATTGGGGTTCTTACATTATACTTCGTTTTTTGATCATCTCCCTGACTAAATGCACTTAAAAAAAATACATTATATCAGTTAATTATTGCAATAGTTGTGTGAATGAATGTCATCCTGGATATTATGTTCTCTAGGAAGTCTTCTTGGGCTGTCTAACAGGTATCCAGGTTGGTTTATGTGTGGTCTCTGTGCCCCTATAACAAGCACTGTGGATTGGTCTGTAAAACAATCTATATATATAAACCTCTAATATGCAAATAGACCAAATGGCCGAACAACTGAACAACCGTGCGCTGACTACCAGGTGGCACATGCGGAACATGGTAGGTGGTGGCAGCAGGTGGCAGAGCGCAGAACATGGTGGGCATCGGCCATGGCGGGATGGTGGAGCAGGTGAGCAGGGGCACCAGGCCAAGGCGGGGTACTGATTGCTGTCATCGGGGCGAGCCTCTGGTGGTTACTGAAAATTCTTTGCTCCAGCATGCCGCGGTCCTGCCGGGTGCTCACACTGCTGCTGGCGCTGGCCCCACTCACACCTGCTGCCGACACCCAGCGCCGGCCCCAATCGCTTGGCGCTGTCAGTGGGTGCAAGCAGCGACTGCCGGCCCCGATCGTCCCTCAAGGCTTCGCCACCTCCCCCTGCTTCTGAGGGGCGATTGGGGCTGGCAGCCGCCTCTCACATGGGTCCCAATCGCTTGGCGCTGTCAGTGGGTGCGAGCAGTGACTGCTGGCCCCGATCATCCCTCAGGGCTTCTTCACCTCCCCCTGCTCCTGAGGGGCGATCAGGGCAGCAGCCACCATTCGCACCCGCTGATGGCACTGGCCCCGCTTGCAGCTGCTGCTGCACTGGCACCAATCGCTCCATGCTGTCAGCAGGTATGAGCGGGGCTGGCGCCATCAGCGCGTGCGAGTGGTGGCAGTGTGGCGGGAGCAGGGCTGCTGGCAGAGGGACCGGGAGCCATGGCAGGAGGGGCTAGGCTGGGGTGGGGAGGATGGGCCAAGATCCGCCCGTGCCCACCGCAGCCTCTCGGCCCACAATTCCTTTCAAGGTGCACGAATCCGTGCACTGGGCCCCTAGTGTTATATGATAGCTATTTTTCTTAATATTTCTTCTTCTCCACTAATCTATATGTCCCCTGAGGGATTTATAGATGATATAAGTTCCATTACTTAAACAGTACCTAGCATAGGTATTTAATGAAATGAATAAATGGAGTTCTAGTACTAGAAAACTTTTGCAGTAAAATTGAGGTAGGATAGTAAGAAGCTAGGAAAATTCCTTGGCAAATGAAATGGGGAGACAGATAGTGAATCCAAACTGGCCTCATCCAGCACCCTGACTCACCTGCCTCCTTCTCCTTTGCATGACCACTCCCTTAAGCATTAAGCACTCAGGACAATGAGGTTCTGATTAGCATTAAAAAATCTTAGGGCCCTGACCAGTTTGGCTCAGTGGATAGAGGGTCAGCCTGCGGACTGAAGGGTCCCGGGTTCGATTCCAGTCAAGGGCATGTACCTTGGTTGCGGGCACATCCCCAGTGAGGAGTGTGCAGGAGGCAGCTGGTAGATGTTTCTCTCTCATCGATGTTTCTAACTCTCTATCCCTCTCCCTTCCTCTCTGTAAAAAAATCAATAAAATATATATTTTTAAAAAAATCTTAGGAACAAATCTCCAGTCTGTTGACCACAGGGACAGAGTTTTGATCAAACTAGAGATAACATCTAGGCCTTGGTTGTGTTTCAGCTCTAGGCCCAGAAAAGCAGCAAAACCACATGAAGTGACGCCATGGCTGGTGTCAGGACCAGATGCATGACCCTACCCTAGTGCCGACCAATCAATAGACACCACAACCCTGACCCTAAAGCTATGAATCTTCATATTAAAGGACACACCTGCAAAGCTGATGAATATTTTATTGAGGTCCTCCTCTGAAATTCCTGCCTTTGGAAAATAGCTAAAACCCCTTAAGATAAAGGACCCTGTGTAGGTTCTCTCTTCTCTCTCTCTCTCTCTCTCTCTCATGCCCATGCCTTCTTCCTTCAGGCATGTATCTTTGCTTTCTTTCTCCTAAGCTCTAAGGATCCCCACCAGACTTGCAAACAGAGAGGCAGAGGCAGAGGCAGCAGTAGCTTACTGTGGGCTAACCCCGTGAACCTGTCTCCAAATGCCCTTTTTTTTTTGCCTCTGTACTTGTTTCCCAAGTCCCTGCAGCTCAACTGGCTCACTTCTGCCTCTATGACTTTCTTTCTAAAAGGTCAAGGCAGCTCTCTGAGCAGCCCACTCGAATCTTCTCTTCGAATGTACTGTCACTTTGCATGCTAAATAAACTTCCTCTTGCATTAAAGTTCTTGGCTCTGAATTCTTTCTTTACTAAACTGAAGCGTCGAGAATCAACACTGCCAGTAACAAAACCATTGGTCTTTTCAGAAAGCAATTTTTCAAGAGGATAACTAAGGAATCCGAATCTTGCATTAGTATTAAATTTTGAAACAAATGTCTAGAATCAAAGTAGACAAGACACACTTTACATAAAATTTATAACATTTATTTAGGCAAAAAAGAAATTCCAAAAACAAAAATCTTTACACACAAGATTAATATCTAAGTGATGTCCTGGTTTAAAATATAGCATGATTCACGTACAGAACACTGCCATTTATCTGGCCACAGTGAGAACAGTGCCTCCAGTCCAGATAACTGAGAGCCTTTGAAATGTATACACATTATACTTTCCAATGATATCCTTTGAAAGGAGTTAAACTCTTCCACTAGAATTCAAGCAAAAGATAGCTTTTTTTCCCCCCACACTCACAAGTCAGAATTTGATAGTGGGAATTACACAAAAGTCAGGGATTTAAAATTTTTATTCTTGCAGATTATCTGAAAGTATAAATCTTGATATAACATCCTCCCATTTTTAAAGGGAAAAAAACACTCAATTTCTTGCTTTATGAAAGTGTGTTCAGCTTCCACTAGCTAAGTAGCTTCTTGCTTCTAGGCTGATTAAAATAAGCTTAAAAGAATCCAATGTTTTCCCAAAAGTGAGTCCCAAACTGAGCACATACTATTAATGAACTAGATCTATAATTTCCCATTTAATGATTGTGGTAAGTTTAGATTTTCTAAATATTCTTAATAGACATTCTGGCTAGCTATAAGGTTGTGCTGTCAAAAAGAGTTCTGCTTCATCCAGAGAAAGGAGGAACAGCATTGATTTTTCTCATAGTTTACCCCAAAAATTGGGGGAGGAAAGAAATAGGCAGAGAAAGCTCTTTCTTAGGCTGCCAATCAGTTAACATAGAATGTCTTAGATTAAGATTTGGAAACTGGCCTGGGCTGGGTAGCTCACTTGGTTAGAGCATCATTCCAATATGCCAAGGTTGCATCACCGGTCAGGAATCAATCAATAAATGCATAAATAAGTGAAATAACAAACTGATGTTTTTCTCTCTTCTCTTTCCTCTCTAAGATGAATAAAACAAAACAAAAAAATTAAAAAGATCTGGAAACCAAAGAATGTATAATTAGGAGTATACCATGTCATGCAAAGACTATGAAATACTAAAAAAAGATAATTACTCATTTAAAGCATATTCAGCAAATGTTCCCATCATACTGCTATTCTCATCACTGGATAAAGGTTGGATTTGCATTATTCCTAAAATAATCAGTTCATGAGTTAACAATAAAAATTAAAAATGTGCCAACACATTTGGCACAAATGGTAAAGATTAAATATCCAATATCCACACAGTCATTTGAAACTGCTACAATGGATTTGAGAAGGAAACCGTAAGTTTGCAAATCTTTCTATAATCTGTCTTAAACTACTACCCTGAAGCTCTAACCACAAAGTCCCAAATAAGTAACATGCAGATAAAACTGCCCACATCACTGACAATGTGATAGTGCCTTTAACTTATACCGTTAGTTTTAATAATACTGTTTATCCCAAGATAAAAGTTGCACAATAACCAAAGAACGTAAACATACCATTAGAGGGCAGCAGAGGGATAGGTTTTCAACAAAAAAAATTTTTCCCAGCTGCTCATGAACTCTTTTCAAACTTGAGTACATTGTTCTATGGAAGGGAAGGGATGATGGGTGAATGTTATCCATGCATTTGGAAACATTAAGCCAAAACCATGATTCCTTAATCTGACCTTCCCTAATTTAACAAATAAAATGTTTTCATTAAAATGTGGTCCAGCCACAGCTGGTTTTGCTCAGTGGATATAGCCATCGGCCTGTGGACTGAAGGGTCCCAGGTTCAATTCCCGTCAAGGGCATATGCCTGGGTTGCAGGCTTGATCCCCAGTAGGGGGCATGCAGGAGGCAGCCGATCTATGATTCTCTCATCACTGATATTTCTATTTCTCTCTCCCTCTCCCTTTCCTTCTGAAATCAATAAAATTATTTTTTTTAAAAACGTGGTCCAAAGGGCTCGAAGATGGCCCAATGCCATCTTACACATGGTATAATAATAATAATAATAATAATAATAATAAACACAGCCAAATGAAAGTGAATGGGGAGAAAAAGGGCCAACTCAAAAGGTTCCATTTAGTAAAAGCAACTTCGTAGGCTGAATATATAGGATTAATGTTTTTACACATGAATCTCTAATTCCTGGGCTGTTCGCAATCAAAAGATAAAATTAAATTTCCACTGCAGCTTTACGGTGATTCATTGCATTCATGGGTAATTCACTTAAGTTGATTGATGCCACTAAACAGAATTTCTGTTCAAGAGTGAGTAGTAGTAATATGTAAGTTAATTTCTGTAATTGTGGATCTGATAAGATTTTTAAAATCTGCAACTAAGGTCAGCAGCCACTGAGGCCTTGGCCAGAAGGTAAAATAACCATTTATTACTACCTGATTTATGTTTTTTTCAACTGCAAGAAGAAAAAAAAATGATTTTTTAGAGTTCAAAGGCCACAGCCAAACTTACTTGATGGAAAAATGAGATGGCTTAATTTTTGCTTTAATTTCAGACTGCTCTTGTTTTACTTAACAATACCACCAACATGCATCATTATATTCTAAAAAGTCTAATTCCATTTCCTGTTGATCTCTTGCTGTTGCTTGTGGACTGCTGTACTGTTATTTTACAATATCTGAGTGCATCTTGATTTGAGCAATGAGTGGTTCAACCCTAGTCTTAGTTGTGCTTGAAATAGTACTTTTTAGCCACTGAAGAAGTAACCCTTGAAGGCACCAAGTACTGTTAAATTCTGTTATACAAATGCGAAAGGAAGGCCTAATAGATTCTAACTGTAGAGAGAGGCCAGTTATGCCTTATAATTTCAATATTTTAGCCAGATTCAAGACCTTAGAAACAATTCTGTGCCTTAATTAGATATACAATTTTAAGAACCATCCCAACAATAAAGGCACTACAATTTTTATATATTTGGGAAGTGATCAATTATTTTGCTTTTAAGACTCAGAGGTATTTGGCCATCACTAGTGCTCAAAGTAGTAAATTAAAATATCTGAGTCTTCATCTATCAACAAGTTATTCTGTGTAAGAAGAGATTTATTATTTTCTGTACATCTTTAGCCATTCCTGAAAGCAACTTGTTAGGAAAAATCTAGGATTAGCCTTTAAGGAACATGCACTGTCTTGAACAGAATATAAGAGAAACTTAAAGCCAAGCTTTTACAAATAGCCTTTCCCTTTACTACACAAGCTAGGAGACTTGGAAGTGGTCAACATAGCTAGTAGCAACTTCCAAGATACTGTAGGCTGTCCTATTTTCTACATTTTGCCTTAGATATTAAAATTCAGAAAAAGAGGGGAAAATTTTAAAAGAATTTTCTATTTCCTCTGTAATAGGCTTATTCTATACAAATTTATCCTGTATCTATAACATTTTTTTAAAACCAATTAAGTCAGAAGTAACACACAATTTTACTTGATTTTTAATGGTTTTTAAAGACCTACATTAGTTTAAATTTTCATCCCTGTGGAGGAGTACCAAATAATTCAAGTATGATTACTGTAATAGTGGTATGAAATGTGAATGTCAAAAATGTTATCAGCATACTAGTAAACCAGCTCCTTTCTAAATAAAAATGCTTCTGAATAATCACCATAATTTAAATATACCATTTAAAATCTCTACTGAAAACATTTGGTCATCTATGGAAAAAAATGCATTCATCTGAGATCGTGATTAACTTTAATCACAAAGTAAAATTTTAAATGGGAATTAAGTTTTTTGGTGACTTGCTGCCTCCCAACTGCTGTTATTGATATAATGATAACTGATTCTTTACCATACTATAACAGGTATCTTAAAGGAAAGGCAATTGTATAAAAAAAAATAATGAATCAAAAAGTATTTTCTCTTATGCACTGCACCTAGAATCACTATATTTAACAACAGTCTAATTCTACTTGTTCATTTTGGCAGTACAATGTGGACATCTTTCTCCAACATAAAAACATTAAGATACATGTATTTTGAAACAAAAGAAATTTAACTTCTTGTGGCAAAATTTACTGTTGTTAAACTTGTATTTTAACTGAGCAGGTAACATCATATGTAGTCTCTCTATTCCACTGAACAAAATTACTTTGAAATAGAGGGACAAGAATGGTCAGTTTTAACAAGACATTTTAAAAATTCACATTTTCACAACAATGTGACCTATCGATTCAGAGAGTTAATCTGTAACATTTTACACTGTGATGCCTGTGGATTATTTCTAGAGAATTTGTGTAGGAAGCAGAAGCCCATGCTTCCAGGAATAATTATGAAGAAGCTACTGCTCATTGCCCCAGGAGATGTGGACTCCAGAAGCATAGCCTGCTCCACTTTAAAAACTATACCATAAGACCAGACCTTTTCCCAGTTCCTAAACTCTGTTATCCCTTAATAGTTTTTCTTTTTAATATATTTTTCTTCCAGCTATCCAAGCTCCAGCCAGTGAGTAGCTTTCCCGAGGAGAGGGTTCAGATTTCCATTCTTTCACACTAAGGAGGGCATCTGACAAAAGGTACACAGACAGAGAATAAAGGCATTTTATACAGAGCATTATAAAATTCACAACTGAAGCGGTTTCAGAAATCAGGTTAACAGCTTATCTGAAGCTGCAAACTGATTAGAAGGGTCTTTAAGGTCAGAAAAGTCTGGCCTAAGGGTTCGTGCAAACTTTATCATAAAACTGTAGAATTTCAAGCACAGGTAAGTTCAAACACTGAAAGATGTAGAAATTTTTCTAAAAAGCATTGATGAAGGAAGAGACCCTTCTTACCTCATAAGTTAAAAATCACAAAACAAATTAGAGACTGTTCACATGGGCAGTACTGTACATCATCAATCCCAAACTGATCTAAGCCTCTTGTTATGGAAACCCCAAAACATCACAGAAGATATCCTAATGAACCTATCACAAAAAGGATTCCTGTGATTCAATTATCCAATTGCCTATGGCTATCAATTTAGTCTGGCCTGGGGCTGCTTTTTACAGGGAGGTGGTCTCCCATGGCGTACAATGTGTTTTTCTAAAGTGTCCAGAATGGCCACAGCAATCTGCTGGACATGGGGATCAGTCTGTTCATGTTCTTTGATGTTGTATAAATGCTGCAATCCTCCTTCTTCAATCAACATGCTGCAATACCTTGAGGCTGAAAGAAAACAAGAGAAAGAGCTTTTCTTAAAACACTTAAAAATTATTCCACACACACACAAAATAATTATTTTTCACTTAAATTTAGCTCTTTTGTTATTGACCGCTAACATATGCTACAGATTGATAAATACCTTTGTAATGATGTTATGTCTACACTGCAAGTTCCCACACATAAATAATACACGTACCATATATATATATTTACATTTACATTTTAATCATAACCTTAAGACATAGACAATCTGGAAAAGAAAATTTATTTGACCCCAAATCACAAGATAGGTGCTTGTTACACTTTTATGCATTTCCTGTTTTTTAATATATATTCTTTTATTTTATTTTATTTTTCAATTACAGTTTACATTCAATATTACTTTGTTTTAGTTTCAGGTGTACAGCATAGTGGTTAGAAAATCATATACTTTGCAAAGTGTTTGCCCGATATTTCCAGTACCTATCTGACATCATACAGTTATTACAATATCATTGACTGTATTTCCTATATGACTATACATTCCCATGACTACTTTTATAATTGCCAATTTGTACTTCTCAATCCTTTAACCTTCTCCACCAGTACCTCCACCCCCACCCTCATTTCTATTTTTTAAAAATTTAATGGCACTGATATTGTACATGCAATTTTATTTCTGCATTTTTATTTTAAAATATTTTTTTGTACACACAAATTTTTTTTAAAATATATTTTCTTGATTTTTTACAGAGAGGAAGGGAGAGGGATAGAGAGAGTTAGAAACATCGATGAGAGAGAAACATCGATCAGCTGCCTCCTGCACACCTCCCACTGGGGATGTGCCCGCAACCTAGGTACATGCCCTTGACCAGAATCGAACCTGGGACCCTTCAGTCCCCAGGCCGACGCTCTATCTACTGAGCCAAACTGGTTAGGGCTACACACAACTTTTAAAGCCTTATTAGTTTTAGTCATTTATTAAAGTATAATTTACACACAATAAAACAAAATTAAAGTTAATCTACATTTTGATGAGTTTTGCAAATGTATATACACCTGTGGTATAATTCTTGTTTAAGTTTTTTGGTGGACTTTCCATTTCATTGATTTTGAGGAAATATCTGGAATGCTGGGCAAATGCTAAATGTATGTTTAACTTTAGAAAAAGTCACCAAATTATTTTCTAAAGTGGTTATATATTTTTCCATCCCATTAGCAAAGAATGTGAAAGAGTTATTTCGCATTCTCGCCAACACTTGTCCTTGTCCATCATTTTGATTATAGGCAGCCTTCCTAGTATGTGTAAACTGGTATCTCATTGTGACTTTAATTTATAGTTCTCTAATGACATGATGTTGGTCCTGATTTTTAATTAAAAAAAACACACTACACTTTATTATTAGTGTTTCTATGTGTTTCTTGTGCAATGTTTAAAGTAACTTATGGAATGAACTTATATTAATAAATAACTGACAAAACAGTTGATTCATAATCTTTAAAAAAGAGATATCAAACCTGATCTAGGCCTGGCTGGTGTGACTCAGTTGGTTGAGCGTCATCCTGTGCACTGAAAGGTCACCTATTTGATTCCTGGTTAGGGCACATGTACAGGTTTTGGGCTCAAGCCCCATTCGGGTGCGTGCAGGAGGCAGCCCACTGATATCTCTCTCTCTCTCTCTCTCTCTCTCTCTCTCTCTCTCTCTCTCCTCTCTCTCTCTCTCTCTCTCTCTAAAAACTTACAAAACAAAAAACAAAACCCTTATCTAAATGCCTTGCTTCTCCACAGACTATGGGTGCAGAGAGCAACATCTTGAATGGGGAAATTCTGTGTAGATGGGGACTGGGTACTGGAATGTACCATAAATATTGGATCTCTTTAAGACATTTTGCTCAAAAAATGAACCCACCGTAGGCTCCTCATTTTTACTATTATTTTTTTAAATGTCTGGGTTGTTGAATAAAACTTAGGTTCTCTTGACCCTTTTATTTATTTATTTTTAAATGTATTTTTATTGATTTCAGAAAGAAAGGGAGAGGGAGAGAGAGATAGAAACATCAATGATGTGAATCACTGATCTGCTGCCTCCTGCATGCCCCCTACTGGGGATTGAGCCCGAAACCCGGGCATGTGCCCTTGACCAGAATCAAACCTGGGACCCTTCAGTCTGCAGGCAGACACTCTATCCACTGAGCCAAATCCGTTAAAGTGGCTCCTAACTTTTATATTCCATGTTGGAACAATGTAAGTCTCATTCACTATTCTCATTCAGTATCTACTATTGGCAAGCTCATTCTGAAAAAATAAATGTACTTTATAAACTAAGATTCTCTTATATAGTATTTTAAAAAGTCTATGTCCTTAAAAATCACTTAAATACACAATTCAGAAATGGCTTTTCTATGTAAGGAGAATTTTCCTTGAGAAAGAAAAACATAGTTTCTTTTTGGTACATACGATTCTTGCTGCAGACATGTTGCATGGCCCAAACTGCCCATAGCTGGACTCCTGGTGTTGTGAAACAGCCAAGTAATGGGAAAAATGGATTAAAGGACCTAAAAGTACAAAAGAAAAGAAGAAAAGTTACATCCTCTACTTAGTGTCATTTTCTTTCTTTTTAAAAAATTCCTCACCTGAGGATAAGTTTATTTATTTTAGAGAGAAAGGGAGAGAGAGAGAGAGAAAGAAAGAAACATAGATGTAAGAGAGAAACATCAATCAGTTGCCTCCCGTTCACACCTTGACTAGGGGAATGAACCTGCAACCAAGGTATATGCCCTGACCAGAAATCAAACCCACAACATTTTTGGTTGATGGGACGATGCTCCCACCAACTGTGTCACCCAGCCAGGGCTTAGTGTCATTTCCTAAAGCAATGATTCCTGAGCTTTTCACTCTAGAAATTTTATCCAACTATTTTTAAACTAATATAAATGAGCTATCAGTATATCTTTCCTTTGTCTTAGCCATTTGAAAAAAGGACCATATTCTGAGAAGTTTTGGTAGAGAAGATGGAAGGTGACTAGAACAAGGTACTAACACAGAAATTTTAAAAAGTACTTTTTTGGTCTTGAAGATACACATTTAAAGAATAACAGACCTTGGCTGGAAAACCTAGAAAAGAAAAAGTTAGTTGATAACTAACTGGTAGAACACCATGAAGGAGGTCTAGAATTAGCCTTTCTATCTCTACTGGTTTTCTGCCCAAAAGTGGGTAGAACATAAGTTGGGAGAATCATAAATGTTGGCAGCATCAGCATTTATGAAGTAGATAACAAAAATAAGTTGTAATAATATTATGCAGCCATCTGGAATATTTCAAGTAATTAGCAATTAGCTATCAAGTCAACTAATTGTCATAAGCAGAGTTAGGCATCCAGTATGCACCTTAATAGATTATTATAAATTGTTTCCCTAAACTAATTTGGTGCTACTTCTAGTTCTCTCAATCTTGTTTTGGAACTCCTTATATTAATATATTGTTTCCTGTTCCTAAAATCTTATGCCCTTACTTAATTATTTCTCAAAATTCAGCTCATAATATACTTCCTCTGGAAACTCTTAACCATTTTCCAATGCAGATTTAAGTACTCTCATCTTTAATTGTATAGACTTCTATGCACAAAACTAGCATAATAGTGAATCATATCTGATTCGCATTTGGTCTCCCTCACTAGGTTCTTGTGTGCAAGCACCATCTCTTATTCCTCTTTGAATTTCAAGAGCAAAAAACAAGTCCCTGGCATTTGTCTTCAATAAAAGTGGAATAAAGGAAGGACTGATGAATGAGAGGTAGCAGAAAGTAAAGATACTTTGCTTTTAAAACCAGTAGGAAGATAGATACCTGGGGGCAGGGGGTAGGGGGGGTTATGTACCTAATAGGAATTACACATTTAGTAGGACCTCTAGGCAAGCAAAATGACTAGGTTACTGTCTTAATATTAATTATCTTGCTAATTACCTGTATGCTACCATCTCACACTCTGGAGTTGGCCATTTCAAAATAGCTGAATGCTGCAAGACAGAAGACACAAGACACACAAAAAAAGGATTACAATATTTATTTAGCACTGCATTATTGCATTATGAAGCTTTGATAGTTTAACCGCTATGAATATTGTGTGTATGCTTCCAGAAAACACCAAATGATCCTACCAGATCATCCAGAAGAGAATTCCTCTGGCTACGGCTCAATGTCCAAGCTTGTTCACCTCTAGATATTAAATGGGCAATAATTCCTGCTGCAAAGTAACTGACTTCCACTTCCACACTATGTAGGAGACTGCTGATGTGGTCTATAAAATCCTTCCACATTAATTCAGAATGCAATTCTTGTACTTCAGCTATATTGTTCTGGAAAAAAAATTAAAAGTAATATATAGTAAATGCCTAATGACCCTTTGTACTTTAAGAAACAACAGAGATTGAAATGATGTAAACATGTACCTGAAATTCAAAGAGGAGTAAGAGATGTACCTGTATTTGGACATAGCTGAAGACTGTTGCTATATTAGCACTGCGGGATTATGGTGATTTTTTCCTCTCCTCTCCAAACAAAATAATAAACTGTGAGTCCCTTTTCAGGCAAAATTGTTAAATAGATAACCTAAAAATGTCCTGATATAAAATATCTAGAAGTGCTGGGTGAATAATAGCTAGCAACCTTTAAATATGTAGCAAACAGAACCAAACTAGAGCAGTAACAGGCCATCACCAATCTGCAGGGGAGGAGAACTGGGTTTTAATAGCCATGCAAAGCCAGAAGGTAAGGGCTAAAAATTGGAACTAAGACTTCACATACAAAAGAAGGACTTTCAAAGTGTTACACCTCAATAAAAGAGTGGATGAAAAAGAAACCTACTGTAATCTACTCTCTGGCCTAAAAGGAAAAGTCTTCCCTTATAATTTATAACTAGGGGCCTACCTTCATGCAAGGCTGTGGTTAAACCCCAACTTAGAAAACAAGAGCAAGAGAGGTAGGAAAAAAACCAGAAAAGTTTGGTATCTAGAAAGCAGAGAGGGGTGAGTATATCAAAAGGGTAAAGGAAACAGTAGTTCTGAATACTGTGGAGAGCCTAAATAAGATGAAGACAAAAAACATCCATTTGTTTGAGCAATATAGCGATCTTGTGCCTTAAAAATTTCATAGCCTTAGGTCCCCACTGAATACCACCAAAGTCTGCCTGCTGGCCTACAGAAGGCAGGTGTTTTATCTGGACTTGGGATGTAATGGCTTCCCTTGGCAGCACATAAGGAAGACCTCTGTTCACATGGGAAACAATTCAGGGGTTTCCAATTTATCTCACTACTCTGATGATTATCCTCATTCTTTTTTTTTTTTAAGGATAACTCTTAATTTTTTTAATTTATTGATTTTTAAAGAGGAAGGGAGAGATGAATAGAGAGTGAAAGAGATATCGATTTGTTGTTCTATTTATTTATGCATTCATTGGTTGATTCTGACCCAGGATTGAACCTGCAACCTTGGCGTATTGGAAAAACACTCTAACCAGTTAAATTATTTAACATTTCCCTATTACTGGGCATTTAGATCATTTTACATTTTCTACTTTATATAGCTAAGTGAATAGATAGGTCCTTCTTAAATGCCAGGCTCCAGCTGTCCCCCAAATCCATCTCTTATTGCTCAGTATTTCAAAGTCTTGCATCTGGAAAACAAACACAAATCTACATATTTTTACTCACTAATCTATGCCTCCTATGATCTAATTCCTTCAGAACAGAGGTCTGCTCTAAAATGGTTTTTACCACATGGGCACTTTGCCTGTTGCAGAGATTAAAGCATTTGATCCTTCATCTTTGATCCATAAAACATTTGACCTTTCATCTTTGTCTCAAAATCCTAGAGGGCTCACTTTCACCAAATCCAATATATTTACTGAATATATGATTTGTTAAGAAGTCTTTTTTTTTCTAATATATTTTATTGATTTTTTACAGAGAGGAAGGGAGAAGGATAGAGAGTTAGAAACAGCGAGGAGAGAGAAACACCGATCAGCCGCCTCCCGCACACCCCCCACTGGGTTTATGCCCGCAACCAAGGTACATGCCCTTGACCGGAATCGAACCTGGGACCCTTGAGTCCCTAGGCTGACGCTCTATCTGCTGAGCCAAACCGGCCAGAGCTGTTAAGAAGTCTTTTAAGTAGTAATTATTAATTACCAAACACGGCCTCTAAAAATACTTTAGGTTAGTGACATTTTTTTCCTTTTTTTGTATGTGGCATTTTTTTTATATATATTTTATTGATTTTTTACAGAGAGGAAGGGAGAGAGATAGAGAGTTAGAAACATCGATGAGAGAGAAACATCGATCAGCTGCCTCCTGCACACCCCCCACTGGGGATGTGCCCACAACCAAGGTACATGCCCTTGACCGGAATCGAACCTGGGACCTTTCAGTCCGCAGGCCGATGCTCTATCCACTGAGCCAAACCAGTTAGGGGTGTATGTGGCATTTTTAAATGAGATTTTTTTCTGATTATAAAAGTAAATCATGCTCATGAAGTTTGTACTATACCAAAAATATAAAGTATGTAATTCATATTTTCCTTTTAATGTGGTGAAAATCTTAATATGTACATATAGTTTTGTACACTGTTTTTTTACTTAGTTAAAATACATATGTTTTCTAATGTCATTAAGTATTTATAAATACAATAGCAACTTCAATGTATCGCGTCAGACAGAAAATAATTATAGGTTTGAACTAAGCAGGAAATGCTTATTTCTTACCAAAAGTCCTAGAACTTTCTGTTGAATGGATGACTCAGTTGGAAAAGACTGTAAAAAGAAAGAGAAACCTATAATTACCTAAAGAATCAAATATAATAAATGCTTAAATCAATCAATAAATGTCAAAACTGTAGGCTAAATTCCCATTCTAACCTCTAGAACCCTCATGAAGAGTTCTAACCCTTGGTTTTCAATAAAGTGTCTGCAAGTGGTTGGAGATTCATCTGTGAGGTTCCAAAGTGCACTCAAAGTAAATTTCAAAGTAGTATCCACCGAATTTTGATTGGTTTTCTGCTTCACTATTTGAAGAAGTTGCTAAAAGAAGAAAAATAGAATTAATTTCTCATTATTGAATTATTACAATTATTAGTGGCAATAACTAAAAGTCCATTAGGTTTAGTCTCATGGCTTAAGACACTTCCTATAAAGGTTTTTATAAGTATAACAAACAGCCTCCTAGACCAGACTATTCCTCCAACAAGAAAAAAGTATAGGAACTTCACAAATACTTCTATATTATTCTGTTTGTACCTATAGTCTAATCACCTCTAAATAAAATGAAAAGCAAATTGATTAAACCTTGGGACCAATTATCTTACCCAATCAGTGACAACATATACTCATTTCAGATCCTGGCATATAAAAGGTGAAGGGGAGAATGAAGCAAACATTTATTTAGCATCAGCAAATTATATCCTAAATTGTAGTAGTGCTATCCCCACTTTTCAGGAGAGGAAATTCAGTCTGAGAGGTATTAAATTTGATCATAGTCAACTTAGTATGGGAAAGTAAGAAATGAAAGAACTAATTCTATCTTCAAGTTTTAAGAAAAAAAGAAAGGACAAACTAAATATAATAGTAAGAGAATTAAAGTCTATATTGGATTTCCAGGAGGAGGAGGTCAAGGGGGAGAAAAAGGGACTATCTGTAATATTTTCAACAATAAAGATACATTTTAAAAAAGAAAACAGAGGTGCAGGAAATTAAGTCTATACTGGATTTAAATAAGATAATATCTTTGAAATTCCACTTATATATTATCTGTCATAGCTTTAACCTTTGAAATTTTTAAAGTTTGCAAGTTAAATGTTTTAACACCTACATAAAGCATCCATAATTCCATTTATACATTATACTTTTAGAAGTAAGAGACAGCTTTGCTAAAACAGATACAAGAAAACATTAATGAACACTTCAAGTTACATACAGTTCAGGAAAAATATTTAAGAAACACAAACACTTCTGTGCAATTATTTAAATTAATAGCATAGAGGCTAAGAGTTTGGCATCAGAATCAGGTTACCTGAGCTTAAATATAATAATCTCTCTGCATCTGATTAACTGTGTAAACTTGTTTGCCAATTCTTTGTTTCCTCATTTGTAAATTGTAGGTGATAATTAAAAGCAAAAAAAAAAAAAAAGCTATCATCATTACTACTACTACTACTAATTTCTGTTAATTCCTACTTAAGCTAAGCTTAATTTTCCCCCAAAGCATATGAGGGGGCTATTTCCTTAAAATCTTTGAATATATCTCCATCTAAAAGTACTGAGACATATATAGCAATGAAAAGCCATATTTATAATTAAAATGCCATTCTGAATATAGTAAAAATAAATAAAATCAGCATCATTTTCCACTTAACTAATATATATTGTATCATCTAGCACTTAGCATATATTCCTTCAATTACTTTTTTCCTTTTCATTTAATCTTCATAATAACTGTATAAAGTATTTTTTACCACCCTTAAGAAAATTTATGTGACTTGCCCCAAATCACACCACTAATAAATAACAGAATTAGGAATAAACCTAGATATGTCAATTTAAGAATGCATACACTTTCCATTTACCACTACAGCCTTCTTTTTATGTTACTTATTTCATTCATATCTTTATTATTATACTTATTAGATTGCATTACAACTACCTCTACATAGCTATTTTCTATACTGTGAATTTCTTATGGGAAGATATTAGAAATATAATTCAGTGTGAATCCCTAACATTTTAAGGTGGTAGGTGATGAGTATTGTATAATTACCTATCAAATGAATGATTTACTTTGTCATTTCATACATAATTTATGTCATAGAAAAAAGGAGTCTCTCACTTGACTTTTCTATCTACTATGGTTGTTCAAACACCTCATGCCAGGATTATAACAGGAAGCCCCAAAATGGACGTTTTTCCTCCAGTTCTCCCTAAGACACTATTCATATTTATTCTCTTTAAAGGTTTTTAACTTTTCACTGTTCATTATATTATTTCCTCAACTGTGTAAGCAAGCAAAATAATACATGAACTATTTAAATTATATTCTTCCCCAAATCATCTAGCATAATCCTAAATGTTTTTTAAAATATATTTTATTGATTTCAGAGAGGAAGGGAGAGGGAGAGAGATAGAAACATCAATGATGAGAATCACTGATCAGCTGCCTCCTGCACGCCCCCTACTGGGGATCAAGCCCGCAACCCAGGCATGTGCCCTTGACTGGAATCGAACCCGGGACCCTTCAGTCCATAGGCCGATGCTCTATCCACTGAGCCAAACCAGCTAGGGCTAGCACAATCTTATGCCTATAATCATCTTTACATTTTCTTCATAAATTTAACAAAATCACAGAATTTTAGAACTCGGTAAGATCTTAAGGCTTATATATACACTAATAGTTCAGGCAATTTTTCTAAATTCACAAAATGAATTTACAAATGAGATCCTAGGTCATCTGACTCTTAGTTCAGGGCTCTTTCCATCTCTGTTAAGGAGTAAAGCTGCCTCTATAAAAAGAAATTAATACACTCATTTAGAAGAAAGGAAAATAATTTTTAAAATATAAAGTATGAGAAGATACACAACACTGCCTGAAAACAATGAAAATGAAAACTGTCTAGTGCTCTGCATAGAGGAGATAACACTTACCCTCACAATGAAGAGCTCAGCACCAAGCTGTGCAGTTTGTTCTGTAGAAAGCTGCAAGCAAGCAGACAAAATAAATGTCCAAGAACCCACTAGTGTGAATGTAATATCAGTCACTATAGCAGACTAAGGTCAGAGTAAAATCTTTGATCAACCTGGAATTCTGCAATTTTGAATTGCAAGCGTGAATAAGCAGGCTTGCAGAGAGGCTTACTAACCTTTGTGGCTTTCGGATTTTGGGAAAATAATAACTATAAGGGAAACACGAGTTCAGGTACCTTGGCAGCCAGAATGGAAATGATAGCAACTGCCATCCTTTGCATGTTTTGATCCTCATGGTTGCAGAGCCACTGCATGACAAGCTTAGCTGCTTCAAACCTGAAAACACACAAATGGGTTCATGAACTAATTCTGGAGGGGCAGGCACAATTTCAGAGTCCCAGCTGGAAACTGATAATTCCTCTTAATTAACAGAGAATAATAATGATACTTAGTGTTCTGGAGACAGTACCGCAATATTAATTCTGACACTTTGTAATGAAATAAGAGTCAAAACTACTGGGCATTCAACTTCTAAAATTACAGCACATTTCTATTCTGTAGTGATTTCAATAATGTAGTAATAAGTATTTTCTGGGTTCCTCACAGTAGCTAGCACAACAGTAATTCATTCACTTACAAACATGTATTGAACTCCTCTTATGCCAAACATTGTTCTCGGTGCTAGAGACAGAGTAGGGTTCGGGTTATTTTATATTTTTTAGATTCCACATATAAGTGACATTATGTGGTATTTGTCTTTTTCTGTCTGACTTACTACACTGAGCATAATACCATCTAGGTCAGTGATGGCGAACCTTTTGAGCTCGGCGTGTCAGCATTTTGAAAAACCCTAACTTAACTCTGGTGCCGTGTCACATATAGAAATTTTTTTGATATTTGCAACCATAGTAAAACAAAGATTTATATTTTTGATATTTATTTTATATATTTAAATGCCATTTAACAAAGAAAATCAACCAAAAAAATGAGTTTGCATGTCACCTCTGACATGCGTGTCATAGGTTCGCCATCACTGATCTAGGTCCATTTATGTTGTCACAAATGGCAAGATTTCATTCTTTTTTAAAAAACTATTTTTATTTTATTACATTTTATTTTATTTTATTTTTCAATTACAGATGACATTCAGTATTATTTTATATTAGTTTCAGGTGTACAGCATAGTGGTTAGACATTTATATAATTTACAAAGAGATCCTTCCAATAATTCTAATACTCACCTGACACTATACATAGTTATTATACTACTAGAGGCCCAGAGCACAGGATTTGTGCACTGGTGGGGGGGCAGGCCTGCGTGGATCGGCCCACTGTGGGAGCGGCCCACTGTGGGAGCGCCGCCCATCCTGATCAGCCAAGCAGCTGTGGACCTGCCCTCTGAGCGGCTCCTCCCTGGTCCAGCATCTTCTAAGGAGCCGGAGCACCTGCCTCTCCAGGGGACCCGATCCGGGCCGGGCCCAGGGACAATAGCACTGAGAGGCGGTAGAGTAGGTCTCAGTCCTGCAGCGGCCACGAACCCGCCTCCTAGCCTCTGGGGTTAGCTCTGTGAGCCTGGCGGCAGCACTGCACAACCTGCGGGCATCCAGAGGAGGCAGCAGGGAGTGAGGAGGAGGAGCCTGGGGTGAGGAGGCGATGATTGCAGCCTGGGTTCCTGCCCGTCGGCCTGGGGTTCGCAGCGGGAGCAGCTTCTCATCCCTGTCAGCAGCGCTCCCACTGTGGTAGTGCACTGACCACCAGGGGACAGCTCCTGCATTGAGCATCTGCTCCATGGTGGTCAGTGTGCATCATAGCGACTGGCTGACTGGCCATTCTGGTCATTCCACCATTTGGTCGCTGGGCTTTTATTATATGCTAGAGGCTCGGTGTACGAAATTTGTGCACGGGAGGGGGGTGTCCCTCAGCCTGGCCTGCACCCTCTCTAATCCAGGACCCTTGTGGGATCGGGCCTAATCCAGCAGTTGGACATCCCTCTTGCAATCCAGGACCACTGGCTCTTAACCGCCCGCCTGCCTGCTGGCTTGATCCCCCTAACTGCCTCTGCCTTGGCTCTGCCACCATGGCTTTGTCCGGAAGGACATCCGGTCTAATTAGCATATTACCATTTTATTAGTATAGATAGAGGCTTGGTGCACGGGTGGGGGGGAGGGTCTCTGCTGGGGGTGGGGCCAGCCTGAGCTAGGGGCTGAGGGCTGTTTGCAGGCTAGCCATGCCCCCATTGGGGTGGGGGTCCCCGCTGGGGTGCCTGGCCAGCCTGGGCGAGGGGCTGAGGGCCGTTTGCAGGCTGGCCACGCCCCTGGCTTTGTCCAGAAGGACGTCTGGAAGGTCTCCGGAAGGTCTCCTGGTCTAATTAGCATATTACTCTTTTATTAGTATAGAGGATTATTGATTACATTTCCTATGCTGTACTTCACATCCCCATGACTGTTTTGTAATTACCAATTTGTACTTCTTAATCCCTTCACTTTTTTCATGTAGCCGTCCAACTTCCCTCTCATCTGGCAACCCTCAGTTTGTTCTCTGTATCTATGAGTCCTTCTGTTTTCTTTTGTTCATTTATTTTGTTCTTTTAGATTCCACACGTAAGTGAAATCATATGGTATTTGTCTTTCCTGTCAGACTTGTTTCACTTAGCATAATACACTCTAGGTCCATCCATGTTGTCATAAATGGCAAGATTTCATTTTTTTATTTCTGAACTAGAGGCCCAGTGCATGAATTCATGCACAGGTGAGGTCCAGCCAGCCTGGCCTGATCAGGGTTGATTGGGCCGGGCCAGCTATGGGGAGGGGCCGCAGGCGGTTGACCAGCCGGCCCGCCCCCTGGCCGAACTCCAGGTCAAAGGGACAATTTGCATATTAGCCTTTTATTACTAGTATATAGGAGGATACTATTCCATTAAATAGGTAGGTAGGTAGGTAGGTAGAGATAGATAGATAGGTAGATAGATAGATAGATAGATAGATAGATAGATAGATAGATGTATACTACATTTTCTTTATTCATTTACTGATAGATATCTAGGTTGCTTCCATATCTTGAGTATTACTAGTAATGCTGCAATAAACATAGGGGTGCATGTGTCTTTTCAAATTAGTGTTTTTGTTTTCTTTATATAAACTGGCAATAGATTCCTAATGGGCCTCTGCCTCCCTCCATTGTGTTCCCTTCAATTTCTGCCTACACAATTGTAATAAATAAATCTGTAAGAGGACTTAGGTATGATGTCACTCTTGTAGTTAGTATTTTATGATTCTAGCAATGGGCCCATACATTCAAATCTTTTTTCCTGCCTACCATATTCTTACTGCAAAGTAGACTGCTCATTAGTCCCCCAAACATACCCACAGTTATGAGGTAATATGGCCTGAAGTTCTTTTGATTTTTTGGTTTAAATTCTAGTTCTATTTTTATTTTTTCATGTGAGGTGATGCGTTAAGTCATTAAAAACATCATAGGCCCTAGCTGGTTTGGCTCAGTGGATAGAGCATCAGCCTGCGGACTGAAGAGTTCCGGGTTTGATTCTTGTCAAGGGCAGGTGCCTTGGTTGCAGGTTCAATCTCTGGCCCTGGTTGAAGTTTGTGTGGAAGGCAACCCATCGATGTGTCTCTCTCACATCAATGTTTCTCTCTCTGTGTCTCTCCCCCTCCCTTCTACTCTCTCTAAAAAAAAAAAAAAAAAAAATCAATGGAAAAATATCCTTGGCTGACGAGTAACAAAAACATTATAAACTTTGGAGTCAGTCTGGACTCAAATATCACCTTCTACCACTTATTAACTTTGGGACCCTGAGCAAGTCCCTTAATCTCTCTGAACTTCAATATTCTCATCTATCTATAATAATAAAAGCATAATATGCTAATTAGACCAGATGTCCTTCCGGACATCCTTCCGGATGACCTTTTGGATAAAGCTGGGGCTGCGAGGAAAGCCGGTGCCAGTAGCCGGGGGAAGGAAGGCCTACTCTTGCACTAATTTTGTGCATCGGGCCTCTAGTAAAATAATAAGATCTATTCTATAGGACTGTCATGAGGATTAAATGATACCACATATCAAGCTTAAGACTTAGTACAGAACTTGACACACACCACGCTTTTGATAAAGGTTATTTTTTTACTAGTATTATTGACTTCCTCTGTGCCTTTATTTGTACAGTTCCCAAAACATAAAACAACTCAACTAGCTTCATCTTTAAAGCATATAGCATGGCATAAAAAGTACAGGCTCTCAGTCAGTCTGGATTTAAATCTAAATTCTGCTACTTACTATCTTATCACCTTGAGCAAGTTACTAAACCTCTGTGTGCCTCTGTTTCCTCATCTGTAAAATGAAGATTACAAGACTAATCATTTCACAGGACTGATATAAGGACTGAATAAGCATATGTAAAACACAGCACAGTGCCTTGCGATTCCAGTGCTTCATACATGTTAGTTATTTTTATTATCTCAAATGCTATCACTAACATGAAATCTTTAATGATTACGAATCAGATGGAATCTTTCCCTCCTTGTTTGGGGGCCCAATTCATTCTGTTACTTCTTCTATGAAAAATTCTGTTTTCTATTATACTCATTCATTCATCCTTCCATCCATTAAACATCCACTTAAGCACTAGAGACAAAGAGATAAATCAATCACAGTCTCTAACCACAAAGAAGTTCAATTCTAGTAGAGTGCACTAGCTATAAAATAAAATTAGTAATCTACTATATATATTCCAAACTACTTATTTTAAATAGTAAATGGAACACCTCATTCCTCAGCCATGCCATATAACAGTGTACTGTTAACAAAATAAAAGTAAATCACAGTAAAATTGCTGCTGGAGAAATATACATTTCAGTATAAATTTCTTTTTCAAAATATCATCATTAAAAGTTATAAAACAGTAAAATGAAAAAAAAACTCTTTTATCTCCCAAATTATAGCATCTTAGAAAACCCTTTTTACTTATTGGAATCCAGTCTTCCTTTAACCTCTGTTTAAAGTTTCCTCTTAAAAAGTTTCTTCTATAATTCAATATCAAATAACTAATAATAAGAGGTATGATTCAGAGAAAAGAACACTGAACTAGAACTAGATGACTTCTAGTCTGGTAATTACTAGTCACAAAACCATGGGCAAGCACTGAATCTCTATATGCCTCAGTTTCTTTAGCCCACATTATTATGTGGATATTTTTAAAACTATAATCAATATAAATTCTTAAGCAAAGGGCTATGAAAACAGGGGCCCATCTGCTATCATGAATATCAAGACACTGAACTAGAGAAAGTAGATTTAGCATTCTATAAGACAACATATAATCCCATCTACTTGATTAATTGTACAACAGGGATATAACTGGTACGAAATTACCTAAGACTTGTCTGGCGTAGCTCAGTGGTTGAGTGTCAACCTATGAACTAGGAGGTCATGGTTTGATTCCTGGTCAGGGCATATACCTGGGTTGCAGGCCTGACTGATCTCCAGTGTGGGGCGTGCAGGAGGCAGCCAATCAATGATTCTCTCTCATCATTGATGTTTACATCTCTCTCCCCCTCTCCCTTCCTCTCTGAAATCAATAAAAATATATTAACAAACAAACAAAAAAAAGAAATTACTCAAGACAGATTTCTAAAATTCTGTTTTGTCCTATTTTAAGTTTTAGGACTATCACTTGCCTGTTAAATGGAACATCTTGAAGGATCCGGTCACTGCAAAGTGAAAGGAGGCAATTCTTCTGCAACTAAAGAACCAAAGGGAGAAAAAAAAAATCATAAATAAAATGTTGCTTTGTTACTTGTTATTTTTTAAACAGGAGTAGCCTCTATATTAAAAAACAAAACAAAACAAAAAACGGAAGAAGACTGATGAAACCCCACTCATTTTACAGCCTTTATTTTGGCACCTACTGTTGAAATAATGACTTCCACTGGACACATATAAGTTTACCAGCACACTTTTTTTCTTTTCCTTTAGATGACAAATAGGATAAGAAGTAGGATAATTCCAGCTAATTTCCCTCTGTTCTGGTAGACTTTAGGTGGGTCCTGTTTTGTCTTCTGTCTACCTGGCTTCCAGGGGCCATGAAAAACAAAGCCCAAAGTTTATCTGGTTTGAGGGAAGCTGGCTTTAATGATCCACTCACCAATGTGGGATGCCATTTTTACTTGGTTTTGGACATATTTTTTACTAACTTGCCAAGTCACTGCTAAATTTTAAGAGTTAAAAATATAATTTAAGCCCTGGCTGGGTGGCTCAGTTGGTTGGAGCATCATCCCATTCACTGAAAGGTTGTGGGTTTAATTCCTGATCAGGGTGAGTACAAGAGGCAACAGATTGATCAGTGATTCTCTCACATCAATGTTTGTCCCTATCTCTCTCTAAAATCAATAAAAACCATACCAGCTGGTATGGTTCACTGGCTGAACCAGGAGGTCATGGTTTGATACCTGGTCAGAGCACATGCCAGGGTTGCAGGCTTGATCCCCAACAAGAGGAAGCCATTCAATGATTCTCTCCCATCACTGATGTTTCTTTTCTTTTTTTTAACATATTTTTATTGATTTCAGAGAGGAAGGGAGAGGGAGAGAGAGAGATAGAAACATCAATGACAAAAAAGAATCACTGATTGGCTGCCTCCTACACGTCCCCTACTGGGAATCGAGCCCACAACCCAGGCATGTACTCCTGACCGAAATCGAACCCGAGACCCTTCACTCCGCAGGCTGATGCTCTATCCACCAAGCCAAACCAGCTAGAGTTCATCATTGATGGTTCTTTCTCCCTCTCCCTTTCTGAAATCAATAAAAAATTATATATAAATATAAAAGAGGTAATATGTAAATTGTCCGGAATGCCATAACATCACGACCGCTCAGGAGGAGGCTGCAAGTGCAGGTGGGTGGGAGAGGACTGTGTGCGTGGTGAGGCAAGCCACGGCTGGTGCAGGCCCAGAGAGTACAGGGCCTGCCTGCCACCGTGGCTGCGGGGAGGCCTGGAGAGAACAGGGCCCGCCAGCCGCGGCGCGTGAGCTGCAGAGGAAACACCTTTTCTGACCACTCATTGGCTAAGTTCCCTGTACGCCACCTGCAGTGTTCTTGGTAACTTGGGTAATAAGAATCCAAGAAGGTGATCTAGGGTTTTTCCACCTCACTACTGGAGGAAAAAACGAAGGTCTGCTGCTGGAGGGGCTAAGAAATATCATATCCTGCCCTAGCTGGTTTGGCTCAGTGGATAGAGCCTGGGCCTGTGGACCACAGGGTCCGGGTTGGATTCTGGTCAAAGACATGTACCTAGGTTGCAAGCTCCTCCCTGGCCAGGGCCCAGGTCAGGGGTCATGCAGGAGGCAACCAATTGAAGTGTCCCTTTCACATTGATGTTTCTCTCTGTCTTTCCCTCTCTCTTCCACGCTCTCTAAAAATCAATGGAAAAATATCCTCAGGTGAGGATAAAAAAAAGAAAGAAATGTCATATCCTATGAAAGACAGCTTGAAAATGCCTAAAGAAAGTTGTCATTTTTTCATGGTGAAGGGACCTGACTCCATGTTGGTGAAAACACCTTGGTGGCTGCAGCAGCTGGCAGTGGCAGCAGCAGCGAAGTGATGGAGGTGGCGCCTTCCTCTAATCAGCCCAGTTGCCTCCCGCAGAGGGAGGCCTGGAAGCGGGCCTAAGCCGTCAGTAGGACATCCTCTGAAGGCTCCTGGACTGAGAGGGGGCAGGCTGGACTGAGGGACCCCCCACCCTGCCCCCAGTGCACAAATTTTCATGCACCGGGCCTCTAGTTATATAGATAAAGAAAAAATAAAATCAATAAAAACAGCCTCAAGTGAGGATTTATATATCTATATCTATATCTATATCTATATCTATATCTATATCTATATCTATATAATTTAAGCAGTATTTTGAGTTGTCATCTGGCTAGGTTATATAGTCTGCCATACCTCTAGAAATAGAAAATCCTTGTCTTATTCATTTCTGTATCCCAGTACTTGATAGTATATGGCCCAGAACAGATAGATGCTCTATGGCTAGACTCAAGATCTAGGTTGAAAATGAGTTTTATATGGCTTACACTATTTCCCTGAACATTTGGATTTAAATACTATTTAGGCAGGGAATGCACACTTTAGTTTTCTACTTCTCTGTTGTCCTACACTCAGTCATACCACAAATTTATTACTTTACAGCTTCTAAAGGCATTAGAATTTCCACCCTCGGTCTATTAAATTGAACTATATGGAGGTAGGAGATGGGTAGGAGACACTAAAAGGACTATTTGAATGCAGATTCCCATATGCTTACCTGCTGGTGATTAGGAAAATGTTCCATAGCTTTCAGCAGCAAATGGGTCACATCAGCCAGGAGTCGGACAGGCATTCCTACAGCAAGATCCTGCTTGGTTAAATTAAATACACAGGCGCTTGCAGCAAGTTGCACTGGTAAATTCATAGGGTGGTTTCTCATCCCAGTGACCACAAGCTGGAAAAAAAAATTAATCCACCTTATAAATCCAAGCTCTCTTCACATAGCAACATTATTGTGTTAATATATAATAATTTCTAAAATGTCTTAAGTATCTTTTTTGTTCTCATGTGCAAAGAGCCTAGGACATAGCAGTTGCTCACTAATACTTAGTTCCTGTGAACCTGGTTCATGTCCAGAAATTTTTCTGTAAGACTAATGAATCTTTTTTATTCAGGTAATTTATCTCTGTGTATCCAAGACCTAATACAGTATCTGTTATATGGTTAACACAATAAATTCTTAATGACTTAAATAGAGTAAAGCAGATGCAAACTAGTTTCAGATGAGACTGGGCACGTCAGGGTGATATGGCAGTAGACTAAATTTCACTTTCTTTTTTTTCTACTTTTACTTTTATTAGCATTTATTTTATGCTGAATTTACTCCCTGGCCATAGTTTTTGTTTCTTCAGTTTCTTCTGGGATATCTTTTTCTTTCATGTAACTTCCTCTTCTGGTTTAAGAACAATCTGCTCTTTTTTAGTAAGGATCATCTAAATGTGGGAGGGAGAGCTCATCTATGGGTTAATCTGTCCATGAACTCTGTAAATTAACTTAAGCTTTGTTCACCTGGATGTGCTCAATGACTAGAGAACCTACGTCTAAACCCTGAAGTTTAGCATTACTCTCTGCACTTTTAAGCACGTGCAGGAAAAATTCAGCACTCTTTTTGGCCACTGACCCTGCATCCTCCCCGACTCTATGGCCTGGGCAAACCTACCAATTCCACCATTCTAAAGACAGAATGGCACACATTTGCTTCTGTACAGTAACATCCTTCAGATACTTGGTGGCCTGCATATCCTTGATGGCCTGGGCAATTTATGAGTGTTCTTAAAGGGAACACAAAGATTTGAACCTTGATTTTGTAGGGTTTTCTGGGTCAAGTGAATAGCAAATCATTTTCAGAGGTCACTTCAAGCCACTTTCAAATTCCAACATTCAGTTCCTTGAGAATGCTGTTAAAGTTAGAGCACAATAAAATCCATTCACTTCCTTCTGGCCTTGATAACTATTTTCTACCTTTCCCTCTCTAATCAACCCCCCAACAAATCCTTCCTACTCCTCATTATCCATATCATCTGAAGACCTTGCTTCCAACTACATGGAGAAAACTGAAGGAATCAGAAAGGAACTTCAGAGTCCCTCTAACCAGCCTATACACATGCTGCCTTCCTGCCTGTTACCATAAATGATTTTTGTGGGCTCCTGTTGAAAGGTAATCTCTCCATTATGTCCTAGATCCTTCCTTTCTTGTCTACTCAAGGATATTATTTCAGCTGTTCTCCCCTCTCACTTTTACACCATTTTAAAATTCTGCAGTAAATGCCCTGGCCAGTGTGGATCAATTGGTTGAGTGCCATCCCTTGTACCGAAAGGTCACTGGTTTGATTCCTGGTCAGGGCACATACCCAGGTTATAGGTTTGATCCCCGGTCGGGTTGTGTATGGGAGGCAACAGATTCATTTTTCACTTTCACATTGATGTTTCTCTCTCTCTAAAATCAATAAAAATATATTTTTTAAAATTCTGTACTAGGTCATTCATATCATCATATAAAGTTAGTTTGTCACCCATCTTAAAAACAAACCCATTTCCTCAGGCAACTACCACCTTTTTTCCTTTGCTCACCATTGTAGCAAAACCTCTTAAAATAACTGCCTACATTATTTTCTCTCTTTATCATTCGCTGATAAATGAATGAATGAATGAGTAAATATTTCAGATCAGGACTAGAGATCTAGTCCTTTGGTCCTAAAATAAATAGATAAGGCATATGCCAAGTGCCAATATCCTCTGGTATGTATGGAGCAGGTGATAGGCATTGGGGATAATACCCTAGGGTCTGAAATGTACTTGTTCCTATTCATGCACCCCATTCTCAAAATTTAAGATCCCTGAAGGTTAAGTCATTTCTGGTTGTGCCACAAACTTATTGTTATTAAACCTCACAGACCTTCAGTTACACAATCTATAAAATAGAAGGTACAACTTATCAGTTGGGACTGTGGTGCTCACTAAATGAGATAACAAATATAATATATTCCTTTACTCACTGGTTTCAAAAATGAATGTGTGTAAGGATTATCTTTTTAAAAATTTATCTTTATTGTTGAAAGTATTACAGATGTCCCCAATTTTCCCCATTGACCACCACTTCCCTGTTCCCCTAGCCGCCCCTAGGCCTTCACCTCCCTATTGTCTGTGTGGATGGGATATGCATAAATTCTTTGGTTAATCTCTTCCCATCACTTCCCTTGCAGATTCCCCTATTGAATCTAAATTTCTTGGGGTGGGGTTCACAAATCTGCTTTTTAAAATAGGCAATACACCAGACTTCTGGTAGACAAAGACCACATTCTGACAAACACTGCCCTAAGCAATCAACAAAATTAAGAATCTTCCTTACTTGCCCTTTAAAAGCTGTCTTGGTTAAAATAACATGGCTTAGTTATGAAAGCACAGGAGGAGGTTTATAAATGACACAGGAGGTTTATAAATGGCATGGAAAGCACAGGAGGTTTATAAATGGCATTGGAATTCCAATGTTGTATTTCTAAAAAGAGCCTATATGGAAGCAATACAGGGCTAATACCTATTGCAGTGTCCTGATTCAAGTCATATACTTTCATTTTCTACTACAACTGGTGAGACAATATCACACTGGTCACTGGTTTTAGGTAGTTAAATATCATCTGGAAGGCATTCATACTACTTAATGAGACTGCTATATAATTTCAAAAACATTATGCAATTATCTTCCCTCTTTCTCATTTACTGCTAATAACTGAAGTCATACATCATCAATCCTATTACAAAAAAGAGTCAAAGGCTAAATGCATATTTTCACCAGTTTTCTTTACAAAACCATCATCTAGCCAGGCAGATCATTTCAAATTTTTCATATCCAGTTTCTTATTCTTACCTTTAAAATTTCTGGCTTTGTTTTTTCCATCACATGAGTTAGACTAAAAAGGTGAAATAGAGCTTCCCGGACAAAGAATGCTCGTTCACTGTACCGCTTCAATGCTTCTGCAATCTGAGTTTCGTTGGCTTCTCCAGACACCTTTGAACAGAGCCAGAAAATTAGCTTTTAGGTTCTTCTCAACCCTCTAACTTTCTCTATCCAAATATTATTTGTATAGATGGCATCCAGGATAGCTATGTAAGGCTTAAAACAAATCAGAATAGTCATCCTATGCAGATGCACATATGTTAGAGAGAGATACTGATATAGATAGCTATAGATATAGAGATATATATATCCTATATAATAAAAGCCTAATATGCAAATCGACTGAACAGCAGAACGACTGGTCACTATGATGCTCACTGACCACCAGGGGGCAGACGCTCAACATAGGAGCTGCCTCCAGCCCGCAGGCCCCAGGCGAGCCAAGGCGGGTGCCAGCAGGGGGCCCTCCCGATCGCCCCACCAATCAGCCCTGATCACCAGCTAGGCCTAGGGACCCTACCCGTGCACGAATTTCATGCACAAAGCCTCTAGTATATTATATAGGCTCAGACCCTACTATGAGCCTGTGGGTAAAATTTTCTACATTGCACCTAAAATAAATCTCAATTTATTTAATACTATCTATAAGGTCTTGCCTTGGGATTAGGCTTTTATCTACCTCTTAAGGTAACCCTCTCCCCCTAACATACAATGTTATAGCCACATGGGCTATTTTCCTGATCTTTCAATAAGCTAAGCTTTCCCAGGACAAGGCCATTAATAATAATAAAAGTATAATCTGCTAATTAGACTGGACATCCTTCAGGACAACCTTCTGGACGAAACTGGGGCTGCAAGGAAAGCCCAGATCCCAGGTGCCAGAAGGAAGCTGGTGCTGGCAGCCGGGGAAGGAAGGCCTACTCTTGCATGAATTTCATGCATCAGGCTTCTAGTTATTTATAATATCCTCTCACTGAAATCTTCCTCTCTTTCTTTGACTAATTTCTACTCAATCTTCCCAATTCAAGTTAAACAATACTTCTTTAGCAAGGCCTTCTCTGACCCACCAATTTAAGTCAGATCCCTCTGAAACATCTTTTTCATAGCCATTATCATAACCACCCCTCCCCCAACTACACTGACCCATTTACCACTGTATCCCAACAGCTGGCAATATGTGTGCCTTACAATAAAAACTCAGTAAGTATTCATCACATAAATGTATAAATTAATTTCCCCAGATTTATTAAGCTCTCAGTCAGCATCGAGAGGTTCTGTTAAAAATTAAGACCATCTAGGAATTTCCCATTTATAAAGGTTAATACACTTAACTTAAACTATGGTTCATGTACCATTGGGTAAACAAATGTACATAATAAGAAGTGGCTCTTTATAAAGTTAATCCAACTAGTAAGTGAAAGAGAAATTATTAGAATAGCACCATAATCTCCAATGAATTAATGGAACTAAGTATTAAGTTCCAACAACTGTTAACATCACAGAATAGATAACAACCAGACATTATATACTTCCTTAATGAAAGAGCATGACACCTTAAGGGTCCTTTCAAAGAGATCAAACATGAGTGTGATTAAGTTTCCTATCCAGCTACCAATCTGTATAAAATTCCAACACAGGGAAATATGCACCAAGAGTATATAGTTGTGAAAATCCAGACTGAGGGAAATTCTACAAGTCAAAAAAAGCTGGATTCTTTAATAGACAAATCATAAGGAAAAGAAAGGAATGGAGAGGGAACCTGTAAATTAAAAGATACTCAAAAGACAAAATTTTGAAAAATGGACAAGATTAACTAGAGATAAATAGTTGGGTCATAACACTATATATAAAAAAGCAAGGACATGATTATTATTATAAAGTCAGAATAGAGGTACTTTTTAAAAATATATATATTTTATTGATTTTTTACAGAGAGGAAGGGAGAAGGACAGAGAGTCAGAAACATCGATGAGAGAGAAACATCGATCAGCTGCCTCCTGCACACCCCTTCCCGGGGATGTGCCTGCAACCAAAGTACATGCCCTTGACCGGAATCGAACCTGGGACCCCTCAGTCCTCAGGCCGACACTCTATCCACTGAGCCAAACCAGCCAGGCAGAATAGAGGTACTTTTGTAGAGAAGGAGGGAGTTGTAATCAGAATTGGACACATGGAAGAGCTTCAGGGTAGCTGCCAAAGTTCTATTTATTAACCAGAGTGATGGTCTCAAATGTGTTCACCTTATTTTCACTCACTAAGCTATACATTTGTTATTTATGGTCTTTGTATCCATCTTATTTTATAATAAGGTTTAAAAATATGTAAAAAAAACCCACACAACCCTGTCATTCAGAGAGATATAATCTCATTACATTGGAAGACAGGTATTTTTTGGCAGTAACATTATGCAGGATGAAACAAAAATAAATACTTAAAAAATATATTACTCAGAAACTAGGTTTTATATGAACATACAGTATTTAGGTAGGAAATGCAGCTTTGAGAAAATGAAGGGCTGCATCATGACTGACATTTCAACCACTGATATGATATGCTACAAGATCTAATACAAACTAGACTATAGTACTGATGTGTGCCAAGTGACACAAGGGCACATACCAAGCATCTGTAAGATTGTAGAAATAACAATGCTATTTCTTTACAAAATGTTTTAAAAACTATTTATATATAATATACATGCATACACATTGGTCATGACTATGTATTCACATATATAAGCAGTAATCCTATATAATAAAAGGGTAATATGCAAATTGACCCTGACAGCAGAACGACTGGGAATGACTGGTCACTATGACACACAGTGACCATCAGGGGGCAGACGCTCAATGCAGGAGCTGCCCCCTGGTGGTCAGTGTGCTTCCACAGGGGGAGCTCTGCTCAGCCAACGTGTCAGCCACAAGCCAGGCTGACGACTGCCAGCACAGCGCTAAGGATGTCTGACTGCAGCTTAGGCCTGCTCCCTGCTGGCAAGTGGACATCCCCCAAGGGCTCCCAGGCTGCCAGAGGGATGTCTGACTGCCAGCTTAGGCCCGATCCCCCGGGGAGCAGGCCTAAGCCAACAGGTGGACAGCCCCTGAGAGGTCCCAGACTGTGAGAGGGCACAGGCCGGGCTGAGGGACCCCCCACAAGTGCACAAATTTTTGTGCACTGGGCCTCTAGTTGAATAATAAAATTCTCCAAGTGTTCACCTCTTTTTAATCACCCTGAACCTTTTCTTACCTTCTCTTAGATTTGGAAACACACTGAAATATTATGTGAAACAAAAAAGATTTTAAGGGGGAAATTACTTAACAATGATTTCAGTCAGACTTCATTTACCCACAATTGGTTGATTCCAAACAGATTTATAATATCTTATATAAAATATAGCCTCAAGTTTGCATGGGAACCACAGCTTGGTAGATAACCCCAGAGTCTGGGAATGAGGTGCCCCATAAATCTAAGAATCCTAGTTGTGGAGAAGTAGAAGGTTCAAGAAATGGATTGTGACAAAAGAGCAAATTGACTGGGGGAACCGTGATGACAGAGTTGGAAATTCTATGGCAAGAAAGCCCTCTGTGTTGGGATTAGAAAGGGAGAGAAAGAACTAAGATACTCAAATAGAGACAATGAGATGTAGTGGAAAGATACATATTAGTACTTTGGAATCAAATAGTCCAAAGATACAGGGGCAGGGTCTGATGTCATCTAGTTGTGAGCCTTAAGAAAACCATTCCCTCTCATTGAGTCAGGAGATCAAAATAATTAATATATATGTAAATGCAAAACTACGCCCCCCCCTAAAAAAAAACACCCACAACCTCTTCTTATAACTAACTGACCACTCAGAGTACCATATATGCAATGTCTTATAAAGAATTCTAGGGAGTCACACTGTCTCTACTTCTTATATCCTTCAGTCTGGCCTAAAAAACTCAGGAATGTAAAGCCAAAAAACCAGTCTCAACTAATTTAAAGCATCACAATAATGAGACAATCATTTCAGACAAGTTTTTCATCAACTTTGCTAAGTTAGACAATTCTAAAAAAGGAGACATGGCAACATCAGCTCTCCTCCCTTAACATGACCTATTATTTTCCAGTTTTCAAATCAGTGGTCAAATAATGTAAAAAGGGCATAAATTTTTGTATTTAGTTGAATAAAGGGTAAAGATCCAATGATCTTTATCTTAAAAAATATTTTAAAACAATGATTCTCAACTTTGGCTGCATATTAATCACCTACTCAGCTTTAAAAAATACTGAAGCCTGAGTTCTACCTCTCTGTGATTCTGATTTACTTGTTCAAACTTTCTAGGCTATTCCTTTTTTTTTTAATCCTCAACTGAGGATATTTTTTTCAACTGATTTTTAGAGAGAGCAGAAAGGAGGGAGGGAGGGAAGGAGGAAGGGGGAGGGAGGGGGAGAGAGAGGGAAAGAGAGAAAATATCCATGTCAGAGAGACACATCGATTGATTGCCTCCAGCACCCACCCCAACTGGGGCCAGGGATCAAATCTGCAACCCAGGTATGTGCCCTTCACTGAGAATCGAACCCTTAGGTGTGGGCCAATGCTCTAACCATCTAACAACACTGTCCAGGGCCCAGGTTATTTCTTTTCAATTAAAATTTTTTTCCAGCTTTAGCAAGAATAATCTATAATAATAAAAGCATAATATGCTAATTAGACCAGACAGCCAAACAACCTTCTGGAGGACATCCTTCCAGACAAAGCCATGGTGCCAGGAGCCAAGGCAGAGGCGGTTAGGGGTGATCAGGCAGGCAGACAAGTGGTTAGGGGAGATCAGGCAGGCAGGCGAGCAGTTAGGGGTGATCGGGCAGTCAGGTGAGTGGTTAGGGCCGATGAGGCAGGCAGGCAGAGTGGTTAGGGTGATCAGGCAGTCAGGCGAGTGGTTAGGGCCAATGAGGCAGGCAGGCAGAGTGGTTAGGGTGATCAGGAAAACACGATCACATAGCATGTATTTGGTTGTCTGACTCCCTCACTAGTTACAAGCTCTATGAGGGCAAGATCATATTGTCTGGCCTCATGATCAAAAACCCATGTCCAGCACAGTATCTAGTGTACAGAGATACCTGATAAAATATTTATTGAATGAATAAAAAAGAATAACTCAAAATCATTTTCTACACTCTATTTTTTAAAGTCTAAATTTATAAATAACCTAGGAATTGAGATATTTATAAGATATTTATAATTAACCTTGCCTTTTCCTTTACTGAAATCAATGATGGTTGCTCAAAAAAGATACCTTGCCATTGTAGCCATAATCACTTCTGGGCCATCCCTGACACTGCTCCAGGTCAGATCAAAGAATGCTTCTGCTTAAGTGGTAAAGGTAATAAGGGGGTGGGGGGGCAATGTGGCTCTGAGCTAGACATGTAGATCCAAATGTTGGTTCTAATGAACAATAAATCATATAATTTCTGAGTCTATGTTTGACATCTATAACATGTGATTAATACCTATCAATATAAAGCATCTAGAGGACACAATATATATTAGAAAAATATTAGTTTTCCTTAAATTTGTCACATTCTTTTCTTCAAGGTCTGACTCAGATACCATTTTCTCCATCAAACCCCTAATTCTCCAGCTAGAAGAAATTTCTCCTACTCTCTTATAGCAACTACTAGAGGCCCAGTGCACGAAATTCGTGCACGGGGGAGGAGAAGGTCCCCTCAGCCCAGCCTGCACCCTCTTCAATCCGGGACCCCTTGGGGGATGAGGGACTGCCGGTTTAGGCCCGATCCCCAGGACATCCCTCTCACAATCCGGGACCACTGGCTCCTAACTGCTCACCTGCCTGTCTGCCTGATTGCCCCTCACTGCCCCCCCTGCCGGCCTGGTCATCCCCAACTACCCCCCTGCTGGCCTGGTCACCCCCAACTGCCCCTCTGCCGGCCTGGTTGCCCCCAACTGACCCCCTAACGGCCTGGTTGCCCCACGCAGCCTGCTGTTCAGTTGTTTGGTCGTCCCTCACTAACCCCCCTGCCGACCTGGTCGCCCCACGCAGCCTGCTGTTCAGTCGTTACTGTTACTGTGACGGCATCCTGGACAATTTGCATATTCCTCTATTATTAGTATAGATAGCTATCCTTGGCTTTATAGTTCTTGTTTTTTTGTGACCAAACCATCACCATTCCTATCAGACTAAGCTCCTATATCTTTTTCATCTTCGAATGCCAAACTGTATTAAGCTCAATAGATGCTTGCTAAACTGAATTTAAAACAGGTATAAGAAACGTAAGAAAAGCAAAATTTTACCATTTCTGCAGTAGATTTTTAAAGATTTTTCTAAATCTCTAGGCTTTCTAGGGCCTACTATGTGACTTGTACTTTACATATATAATTATTAATCTTCAAAAGAATTCTGCAAGGTAGGAACGATATCCATTTTATAAATAAAGAAATGTAAACTCAAAAAATGACACCATAGCTTGCTCTAGGTCATAAAGTAAGCAAGCTGGGATTTTCGTTAGGACTCTGACTCTAAAGCAAGGTCCATATATTATTAGACATTCATCTTAATGGAATCTTATGTAACTAAGACATTAGACAACCTGACAAAATAATACATTTTTAAAGTCTAACCTTCAAATGCCCTTCGCCTGTGAGGAATTCAGAGTAACCAGCATCAGTGGCCAGCAAACCCACGAACTGCATACTGGGCCGTTGTTGTATAAAGGCTTCAACAGCTTTATCTGTCACATGCTTTCTCCCAGAAACGTCCAGGGAGACCAGGTTGGGTAGGATATCTTTTTGTTCTAATAATCGAAGAGCTATGTCTGATGTAAATTGTTTATCATCTGATATATCAAGATGATTCAGATATTTTAGTTCTCGAACAACATCCAGTATCTGAGTAGTTGTCATTTTTAAACATTTTAAGTGATGCATGGTTAGAGACTTGAGTCGGTTTTTGCAGGCCAGCAGAGCCGTGATGTCTGTAATTGAGGTGTTAGAAATATCCAGGCTCTCTAATCTTGGCAATGAGGCAACTTCAGCCAGGTCTTCATTGTAAAAGAGAACGTTGGTGATGCTTAATGCTCGAAGGCCAGAAAGCTGGTTGAAGCACCGCTCATAAGGATCTTCAAGGGACAGAGTTAATGAATTCAGCACCAGGCACTGGAGATTTTGCTGGATCCATTTATTACTGCCAAGCCCGCTGATGATGTCTGTAATCGTGATGTCAGCATTCACACCTGTTGCATCAAGTTCCACTAACTTGTGATGGCAGAAGGCTTTCCGAAAAGCAACAGCAGAGATCTTGGCTTTGCGAATGCAAGCTCTCTTTAAGCGCATCTGGTTACCCCTAAAAATACCTACAGTTCCATCATTCAGGAGACCTGGAAAAAAAAAAAGCAGCACTTGAACTTCAAAAAATGGTTTAAGAAAAACTAAAATTTCCAGCATACTTTACATTTCCAAAGCACTCCCATGTGACAATGTTTCATTTAATATATATATAACAATAGACCTAGGTAAAAATATTATCTACGATTTATAGATGAGTAAACGGGGGCTTAGAAAACTGACTTTCGAAGATACCAGAGCTAGCAAGTGGCAGACTAAGGACTGTGGTAGACGTTACTGAAACTAACATCTGGTTCTTCTCATCTTCCTGAACACATGGACAACTACATTTCCCAGGACACCCTTGGAGTTAGATGGGGTCCTGTCCTTAGTTCTGGCAAATGGGCTGTAACCTGAAGCACCTGAGACCCAGTGCATAATTTTTCATTCTATCTTTTCCTGCTATGACAAATGAGGAGCCTTCAAATTCTAGACAGTTAACCTTTATGAGAGTGGAGCTTCCATCAGCCTACCTCCTAGAGTGACCATGGAGCAGAACCCTCCATGAATTTGCAGCATTTAGGCATCATGAGTGAGGTCTAAACTTTGTGTTATACTACTAGTTCTGGGGGGTAAATTTGTTAGTAATGCATTTCTAGACTATCCCTTTAAGTCACTATAACACATTATTAAACACATATCTACATATAAATATAGTTAGCACATATGTCTATAGTTCATTATTAAACTACTAGCTAATAAGATCTAAAATATTATTAAAAGGATCGAGAGCAGTGGTTCTCAACCTTCCTAATGCCGCGACCCTTTAATACAGTTCCTCATGTCGTGGTGACCCCCAACCATAAAATTATTTTCGTTACTACTTCATAACTGTAATTTTGCTACTGTTATGAATCGTAATTTAAATATCTGATATGCTGGATGTATTTAGGCGACCCCTGTGAAAGGGTCGTTCGATCCCCAAAGGGTCTCGACCCACAGGTTGAGAACCACTGATCTAGAGGTTATAGTCCCTCCCTGTCAGATGAACTCAAATAAAGTGAGCACAGTAACCTCTTGAAGTCCCTAAGAGATAAAAAAATAATAATAACTCGTTATACCAAGAACCAGTAAGGTTTCAAACTGAAAAAAAGATAATCTGTAAATTCAATGTGAGATAATAAAAATGTTAAAATTATTTGACAAATATTTTAAAGGAGCCACCATAAAAAATGCTTAAGTGGGCAATTACAAACATGCTTGAAACAAATTAAAAATGGAAAGCCTCAACAAAAAAAATAAAAGACCTTAAGAAAAAACAAATGGAAATTTTAGAACTGAAAAATACAGTAATAATAGCCGAACCGGTTTGGCTCAGTGGAAAAATACAGTAATAGTTGGGTTCAACTAGAATGGAAGAAACAGAGGAAAGAATCAGTAAACTAATAGATGAAACAATAAAAATCACTCAAATCTAAACAGAAAAAAAAATACACTGAAAAAAAATGATCAGAGCTATTTGTATTATTGAATTCCCAGGAGAGGAGAAAGAGGGCAGGGTTGAAAAAGTACTAAAAGAAGTAATAGCTATAGACCTATGAGAATGCTCAAATAAAAAATTGCAATAACACCAAAGGCTGGCAAGTATGTGGAGAAACTGGATCTGTCCTATATTGCAGGCAGGAGTGTAAAATGGTACTACCACACTTAAAACAGTTTGGCATTTTTCTTAAAACCTAAACATGCAACTATCAAACAACCCAGCAAGAGCACTCCTGGGTATTTATCCCAGTGGATGAATGGTTATACAAACAGATGTACTTCATAACATGGACTACTACTCAGAGATAAAAAGGAATGATTGATACACATAACAATCTGGAGGAGTCTCCAGAATAAATCCCAAAAGGTTATATACTGAATGATTCCACATATATAACATTCTTGAAATGACAAAATTACAGAAATGGAGAACAGAAATGGTTGCCAGAGTTTACGGAGGGGGAAGGAGTAGAGAAGTGATTGTGGCTATCGAAGAGTAACATAGCCCTTGCTGGTTTGGCTCAGTGGATAGAGCATTGGCCTGTGGACTGAGAGGTCCCAGGTTCGATTCCATCAAGGGCACATGCTGGGGTTTCGGGCTTGATTCCCAGTAGGGGGCTTGCAGGAGGCAGCCAATTAATGATTCTCTCTCATCATTGATGTTTCTATCTCTCTCTCCCTCTCTGAAATCAATAAAAATATACATTAAAAAAAAAAGGGCAGCCCTAACCGGTTTGGATCAGTAGAAAGAGCGTCTTGCAGCAGACTCAAGGGTCCCAGGTTCAATTCTGGTCAAGGGCATGTACCTTGGTTGTGGGCACATTCCCAGTAGGGAATGTGCAGGAAGCAGCTGATCGATGTTTCCCTCTCATTGATGTTTCTAACTCTCTATCCCTCTCCCTTCCTGTCTGTAAAAAATCAATAAAATATATATATTTTAAAAAAAGGGCAACATGAGGGATCCTTGTGGAGATGGAAATTTTGACCATATCAATGTCAATATCCTGGTTGTGATATTGTATTATGGTTTCACTACCACTGGAGAAGGAGGATATCATCTGTATTATTTATTACAACTTCATGCGACTCAACAATTGTCTTAAAAATACAAAGTTCAAATCCAGTTTCTCCAATTTTAAAGAGATCACTGAAGAAAATTTGAAAGTGTTGACATGGAATTAAGGGAATTCCATTTGATGGTTTCAAATTTCTTGCTAAGAATAAGTGACAGAAAGTCTGAGAAGAGCAAAAAACATCTGAAACAATTATTAGGAGCACCACTAATGATCAGAGAAATACCCAAGAATTCCTGGGCAGTGCTGAGGAGCCTTAGCTTTATATTACTGAACTGCCTCCTCATCATTCAGGTCTCAGCTTAATTATCACCTCCTTGAAAAAGCTTTCATTCATCATCCAAGCTAAAGTAGACGCCTTTTTTTTTTTTCCTGAAAACGATGTTCTTTTTCCTCAGAGAATCTATCACAAGTTGTAATCCTATATGTTTATTATGTCTCCGACTGGACTATACACCCCATGCAAGCAACATTTGTGTTTAATATTGTACACTCAGCACCTGACATAGTGCCTCGCATGCAACAGGTGTTCAATAATTACTTCCTCTGGCACGTCCTTCTTAAACATTTTATTTCTATTGAGCCTCTTCTGCACTCATTAGTAACTCCTTTCACACTAATGTTAAAGATTTCTGTTAAGGATGCTTGTAAAAAACAAAAATGGGAATAGACACTAAGTTAAGATCAATGTTTACCTTGTTTATGACACAAATTAAATTTTCATATATTTTTAAATGTTAGTCTTGTTTTTACAGCTGAAATTTCAGGCTCCTAAATTAATTACTGATTTTAATCTTAGTGACTATCACAGTGCCTTTGGATATTGTATACATACATTTAGTAAAATGGGTTACTCCTGGACTATTTGGGTCAGTGTACATTAAGTGAATTTTTCTAATTACAAAGTTTAAGGGTCTATAATTCAAATTAATGGAATTAAAAGAGCAAAGAAATTTTTAAAAAGGAAAAAAGAGAGACTGAGATTTAGAAACCAGTCCTGTGTTTGAGTCCTGGTTCCAATATTTATTTGCTATTTGACACCAGACAAATTACTCCACAAATCTAATATTTCTAACCTGCAAAAGGGGAATACTTATATTTCTTTCACAGGGATTGCTGAAAAAATGAAATAAGACAATATACATAAAAAGCACTTTGCAAATTGAAAGCACTATACAAACATCATTAACTATATTTGAAAGAAATCTTTCTAGATCTTTTCCTCCTTTCAAAAATAAATATACTGAAGAATCGTTTGTCTTTTCCCATGACCAATAATTGTACTTGCTACAATGTATTTAAGCTAAATTTTCCTTTGATGTCATTCGATCTGCTTGGGTTGTAGTTGACAGCCTGCCCCTTCAGATTATCAATTCTTTTTTGGTCTTGCTTTGTTAATCCTCACATGATATTTTTTTAAATTGCTTTTCAGAGAGAGTGAAAAGGAGAAAGAGAGAGAGAGAGAGAGAGAGAGACAGACAGACAGACAGACAGACAGACATCGATTGGTTGCCTCCCACAGGTGCCCCTATCCAGGCCGGGGATGGAACCTCGAATTCAGGTACATGCCCTTGACTGGGAATCAAACCTCAGACCCTTAGTGAACAGCCGACGCTCTGACCACTGAGCCATGCCATCCAGGGCAGATGATCAATTCTTAATTTGCCAGGGTCAAAGAATCAATATGTTCTAAATGAGGGTTCCTCAATGAGGTTTTTTTAAAAAATATATTTTATTGATTTTTTACAGAGAGGAAGGGAGAGGGATAGAGAGCCAGAAACATCGATCAGCTGCCTCCTGCACACCTCCAACTGGGGATGTGCCCGCAACCAAGGTACATGCCCTTGACCAGAATCAAACCTGGGACCCTTCAGTCCGCAGGCCGACGCTCTATCCACTGAGCCAAACCGGCTAGGGCCCTCAATGAGTTCTTTCAATGAATAAAGTACAGAAGCATTAATGCAAGGAATTTGCCCCAAAGCATTTTTTATTTCTTTCTGCTTTAGTCTATAGATAGCTGAGGTAACCAGCAATATGACTTCCAGATAAATGGGGTATTCATCTGGGACTATAAACCCTCAATCATTTAGAAAGTCTATTTAGCTATTTAAGGATGTAATCCATGTTTCAAAGGTTTCAATTTAATCCCATACCTGAACATGTCAAGGTGTATCAATTTAGGTTAGGTAGGCAGTATAACACAGACACATTAACATTAGATGGCAAAATTCTTACTCTGATTCATAGCTCACAAGTGCACATTTCCTGAAAAATTTTGAGCACTGAGACACAGATAGAATGAACAGAAATTATGGTAAGAAAATTATAGATCTCAGAGAGAACCAAGATGGCGGCATAGGTAAACACCTATACTTGCTGCCTCTAACATCCACATCAAAATTACAACTAAAAGGCAGAACAACTACCACCCAGAACCA